GCCCCCACCCACCCCCGAATTGTTTTGCGCATGATGGCGCATGATGGCCCTCGGGCAGATGATCTGGGCAGGCTTGCATCGCACGTGCAAGCTGTCCGCTGCTGATCTTCACCTTTGGCTTTAACTTGTAGTTAGCCAAGCCCAGGCATTGAACGTCGTGCAGAAGATCATGCCGTCCCTCTTGCACAATTATTCCGCAGATCTGTTCGGATAGTAAGCCTAACGGGAAGTAGGCAGCGTCAAGTGCAGGCTCCAAAATTTGCGAGCCATTCTTCCATGAAGCCTCGAACGCTGATCCTTCTAGACCACAGACAGAGGACAACACAGCCGAAAAGCCCCGTTCACTACAACCACCCAAATGTGTCCCAGTGTGAAAGGCTGGAAGAGCTGTTAGCTGCGGATATCTTGGATGATGCCTGGCACAAATGGGGGGCCGGGCAAGCAGCTAGTGCTGGTTCAGTCGCTGGTTCAACCGTTTAGCCAGCATCAGCCCCCAAGAAAGCAGAAAGTCGACCCAAGTAGGCGCAAGGAGTGAAAAGGCATTCAGAGGGCTGAGAGGCTCGAGTCGCTTGCAGCAGATCTTTTCCTGAGGATCGTGTCAATATCTTCTTGCAGGGCGATGAGCAGAATCCAATCCTTTGGGCAGGCGTTGCAGCCCAAGTGTGACCATGGCAAAATGCACGGTGCAGTTATCTGAGTTGCATTACTGGTAGAGCAGATGCGAATCCTGCTGCTGCGATCCATACACGAGCCTGTTAATGCAGGTTCAACTAGACTTTAAAAAACTAGATTACGGGGAATATCTGTACAAGCCTGCCACTGCCAGCAGGACTCTCCGGACGCTGCATTCCCAAGTCGCGCGTTCCTGAGACATCGTTGAAACGGGAATCCTGAATTCAAGCACACTCGACACTGACACTAGAAAGCATTCCGTCCGCCACTCATGGCTGCATACCCCAGGACCACGTGGGCACTGACAACCTGCGACCGTTTCCGCGACCGGCAGCGCAACCCGAGTGCACCAGGCAGTGAAGGGTCCCAGTGGGAACCAGTGGGTTCGGGCAGAGCAGACATGAGCAGACCATGGCATGTCAGTAACGCGTTGCAGCTTGGAGGAGCCGTGTAGTCTCAATGTGCAGGCTACGCCTTGGCGATCGTTCTCAAAAAACACAAGGACACATTTCCTGGATTCACTTTACTTGGGGCTATCAAGCGGCATCAGTGACTTTGTTGCATCTGCTAGGGTTTGCCCATGTGTCGCGCGAATCAAAATCCCGGCTTGGACGTTTGAAGCCAGTGAGCGGACGATACCACAGAACTGGGGTATGTAATGTATGGCTTTCAGGGCTTTTCAGCCTTCAGGTGCAGAGGGCTACAAGGATCAGGATCTCGATGTGTTTGTACATTTTGGGCTTTGGTTGCGTTCGCCCGGGCTGGTAGAAATGTAGCCTTTGTGCGGGGCCGCTGCTCGAAGTCTGGCTCCAGCAGTGCTTCTGCTCGCCGACTGTCTTGGTGCCCAAGCCATCTCTGCCTCAGCCACCAAAAAGCCAAACAAAGGCCCCTAAATCCTGCAACATAAAATCCTTTCAGAGCACGGAAGGACCATCTCGGCTCCTGGGCTCAGCCCTTCAAGTGTCTGGGACCTTATATGACAAACTGCATTGAGGGTTGAATTGAAGAATTGGAGCAGAGGTGCTGCTTGGGTGCGTGGGGGAGGAGGCGTGGTGACGAAAGTTCCGAGGCACCAAGCGGGCCTCGTAGGATTTGGGTCGTGAGGGTGCTGCTAGTAGCTCGTGAAGGTCAAATGTGGTATAGTCATGGAATTGCTCAGCTTGGCATGCATTGGGCTTTGGCAGATGCTGGGTGGGTGTTGGACAGGCTATCGGCGCAAACGGGCTAAATTTGGGACGAGGATCAGAAAGGACCATAAGGGTCGAACGGATCCCGACGGAGGTTGGAAGTGCTTAAGGCGAAGGGACAAAAATGTTGTGAAAAGGGCCTAGCTTTGGAGTCGACGCTGGGTGTGGTGCTGCTTTCCAGATTCCCTCGTTTGAGGTTCGGTTCGAAGGCCATGATTGCATTGACCTCTGTACCCTAAACTCGAACTCCAACTGCCTGTCGTCCGAAAAGCAAAGGACTTGTGTCCAGCATCCCCTGATGCTGAAAAACTACGACGAGCTCGAAGATCTGTTAGAGGCGATGCGATGACTGATTGCCATTTCGGTTGTTGCCTGAACATCTCCATGTCCAATGACAGCAACTTTGAGAGCCAGGGCTGGAGAGATCATTTTGGCACTGCTTCTGCCAAGTCTCGTCCTCCCAACGTGTGAGGCGCTGCGGGGAGATGAGGAGGTGCTGCGAGTGCAGGGATGGTGGGCTTTTGTCCCGAGCAGCTTTCAGTGGGAAAGTGTCAGCCTCACGAAATTTTGTTTCTTTGTTTCAGTTGACTGGACGCCTGCAGGGTTGCCACACGTACCCAAGGCCTCAACACTCTAAAGTACGTGGCAACGCCTAAATATTCCCCCTTACAGAAGGGTCGGTTCCGCAACAACCCCTCTTCCCCCCCACCCTCCCCACCGACAAGTCCGTCACAAGTATGTAATGCCACAGCCGGCAACGCGGCAAGCGATAAACGATTTGAAACAGGGCGTTGCGGGGCGAGGGGGGCCCAGGACAACTGGGTTTCGACGACAGTTCTTAGTCGTGCAAGCGTGGGCAGACAGATCTTTTTGCCTCATCCCCACCCTCAACTCTCTGTCTGGCAAGGAATGCAATCCGTCACCTGTGCTGGCATGCAGTTCCACGCAATTAAGCGATGCCAGTTCGCAACACATCGTTGAGCTCCGACTCTGGCGGACCCGGCGCATAAAACTTCTAAGCTATCCTGCATCAACCCCCAAACTGAAAGGCTCGATCCACTAACCAGGGCCTCTTGGGCAACCTCCCATACCAGGATCGGCGCCGCCTGACGCCGGAGCAGCGGCGGAGCTGCGAGCGGCAGCTCTCCGAGTGGAAGGAGGATGGGGTTTCGTTGGGACAGATCGGCAGACCGGTTCACCGCTGACAAAGGGCCCTTCGCACGCATTGGCTTGAAGTCTTCCGCCACATGGGTCGGATAACGATTGCTTAAGGTGTGTGGGGGTTTTTTTGTCGCGTGGAACCATCGTCCAGTCCTTCCTTCGATTCACAGCGTATCGCCCCTCGAGCATTCAATCCAAATAGTTCCAAGAGGCTTGTTCAGGAGTTTGCAGGGTGCCGGAAATTCAAAAGCCATTCCTCACTGGCATGTATGAGGCGAGGTCATTCCCTGGGGTTTGTGTTTGCACGGAGCATGTTAAATGTTGAGCTCTTTAAGTGGATAAGCATGCAAGTATCTCGATGGATACATGTTGATGCTGCGTTTGGGAAGTAGAACTGGTTGGAGACCCGTACGCTCATTCATCGCATAGTTACATCAGTTACATCCATGTACGTATCTTGTGAATTCTAACAGTTTATACATACATGTTTTTCATGCATCTCTCTCGCTCTCTCTGCGTGTCTGTCCGCGGCATGTGTGTGTGTGTGTGTGTGTTTACGCACTGCTGACAAGCTCATGACCACAGCGCAGAAACCACTTCACGAAACTTCGGAGATCTCCCGATGAACCTTGCAGGAGCGATTCCAGGGCTTGCCGGGTGCAGCGCTGCTGCCCAGGCATCGTCACTCTCTGCTTGAAACTCCCAGCGCCTTATGCTCCGGTCACGTTATTTTGTGTTGTGCAGGGTCTTGAGCTGCACAGTCTAACCTAGGGAGGCTGTTTTTTCTTTAACAAGTATCCTTGAGCCCGTACTGAGCATGCCTCATATTGCCTCGTTGCTACCTCTCACTGCGTGGCCCTGTTTGAGGAGCCCCGAGGTGGGCCTCGCCGTGCGGCGACCCGACCAAGGCTCCTGAGTTTTGCTCTTCGAATCTTTGCAGATCTTTGCTCTGTCTGTGCATCGCTCCATATCGTTGCTTTGGGCGTAGCTCTCTCAGCGCATGTCTGGGGTGGACTTCGAATGGCAACATGTACTGGCCATCGTCGCAATCATTGTCCTCCTAATTACTCCTCATCGCCACAACCTGTTGTGGCTGCCGTGGTTGTTGTGGTTGTTGTGGTTGCTGTGGTTGTTGCGGTTGTTGTGGCTGTTGTGGTTGTTGTGGTTGTTGTGGTTGTTGTGATTGGTCTTGCTGCTGTCGCTGCCATGGTCGTTGTCGTTGGGGCTGTTGCTGTTGCTGCTGCTGCTGCTGTTGTTGGTGGTCTGCTGGTGCTGCTGGTGGTGGTGAAGGTGGTGGTGGTGCCGCTGCTGCTGGGGCTGGTGCTGGTGCAGCTGGTTTTAGTGTTGGCCCTTGTATGGTCATGGGTCATGGTGGGGGTGCACGTGCTTGCTGGTCAGGCTAACCTGAGCAATCACACCTGAGAATGGGGAGTGCAAGCAGTTTTGCGAGCCACTCCTGATATTCAGGTTGATTTGCAGAGATGTAGTGAGATCGTATCCAACGATTTGCTGTCTCGCATGAGCATGGGGGAGCAATACAGTGCAGACGTTTAGAGCGAAATGCTTCTTGTTTCACTTTACAGTAACTTTACAGCGGTTAGTAGAGTTGTGCTTTGGGAGTTGCTAGCGCATACTTGCAGACGAAATGAGGACACAACAATAAGTACACATGTACGTGCATCGTTGTACACACACTTATGTTGAAACATGTTGAAACCGATAGCTTCTGACACTGCGCCATCCCGCCGAAACAAAAGCGCTTTTGCTAAGTTGTGCCGACCTGCGCCTGCTTCAGTGATGCCAGGACTAGCCCGTTAGGCACAGGAGGAAGCGGACTTGCCGAGCATTGCAGCCTCATACAGTACCCGTAGTAGCACTGGTTGTATTACAGTGTGAATCATGAAGCCGAAGCGAGATGGCGACAAGGCTTCGGTTTGTCTGCATCTACAAAGCACCATCTCGAACTTTGCTTTAACCAAGGTGGTTGTGGCCACGTCTGAAGAACCCAAGAGATGCCAGGGCCCTCAGAATATCGGGATTCCCGGAATGTTTCTGTCAGCCTGGGCTTGCGGAAAAGCGGTAAGACATCTTTTATGGAATGTAGACTCTGGTTCTGTTGCATGCTGTGCGAAGCAGTGCTCTCTACATGCTGTGTAGTGTAAGAGTCAAGAATGATGTCGATTGGGTTTTCAGGTGTAGGGTGATGGTTGGGGAATCGCTCTGTATCACTCTTCGTTTCCAGGGTGCTACATACCACGGCTGGTTCGAGAAAGACATCCCGCGGGTGATGCTGTCCAGGCCTGTGGCATCAGGATGGTTTGTCCATGTTGTTTTTTTTGGATATGGTGGCGTGCGGAATTCTGGACACTTGGGCTTGTTGTTGCGCAGCCATGTCTGCAACCCAGCACAAAACGACAACAATCCTTGCGTAACAGACAGTGGGCCTCATGAGGTGGGCCATGTGTGGGAACTTAGTCTTGGAGTCCAGTTCATGCGGGCTTCTGAGCACAATGCTCCTGGCACGCTCGGGCTTTGCGTGCACGAGCAAGCAGGAAGGTCTCAGAGAAGCGTGAGCTCTAATCTTGCAAGCCGATGGGAACAGTCACTTCCATCAGGCTAGCGCACAGCTTCCAAAATCGGATACCCACTGACGGTTTTGGGCACGGCTTGATGTACATTATGATTTTGGCCTTGAGTGTTGCAGGCGCTGGGTTTTGTCAGAGCTCCATTGCATCTGTTAAGGTTTCCGATGTCGGGTTCGCGCTGCTGCATATTTCTCATTCCCAAATGCGAGGTCTTCGCCTCACCACGCAGGCATGTCGCGAGCTTGGGGGGGGGCAGGTTGCTGTCGGAACGCTTTCGGTTCATTGCTCCGCGTCACATCCAGCAAGGCCCGAGCCTTTCAATCTGGATGTGGACGGAGAGGCGAAGGTCCTCGTCGCCGATATGTGGAACCATGTGGAGCAAATGCAGCGGAAACTGGCTAATAGCCAGGTCAAGTACTGGCTGCGTCTGGCGGAATACTACCACTTTCCGGGTGTCCAGGCCTGGCATGCCTGCGTATGACCGCGCAGCCGTTCTCGCGCTGGACATGCGCACATGCGTCGGTTACATGCGGATCATCCTATACGGCTCCACCAGCGGCCTTTCCACCAACGGTCACCAACCTGTTGCAGGTGTTCCACTCCCTGGCGGGGCTCATCGCGGATCTCAGGACATCGGCTCAGCGGCTCAACACGGCTCAACAGACGTTACCAGTGCAGGTTGAAGAGGGGTAAGTTCAGTTAGAGGCAGCTCGGGATGCTAGGGCTGGTTGGACTGGCTCTGCCCTGCGAGGCCTGATGTCCTCCAGGCTGCCAGGACTGCCATGGAAAGCCACCTGCAGGCCATTCTTGTTGTTGGGGGCGCGCGGCGCGGGAAGAAAGAATAATGGCAATATACCAAACCGTCACAAACCCTGAGTCCTAGAACCCCGAGCCATGGAAACATCCATGCGCAGCAGAAGCAACTCCTTTGTACCTTGCTTTTGGAGTCTGGCTTCAGGTGCAGACTGGCATCACCTTGTCGATCTTCCGTGCGCTTCTGACTACAGCTAACATGGAAGGAGGCCACGAGACTGAGGTGTCCGGAGGGTGTTTGAAGATGGATATTGTTGTGGCTCTAAGACTCTAAGGGTACTTGGACTTCAAGACATAGACCTTGACTGGCGTTGGGATTCTGCAGGGTTTTTGGGCGAGATTGGAATAGCCTCCGGGTTCGGAAAACTTCCAACGAACCGTCACCTGTCTGACTTCTGCATGAATTACCCGCTGGCTTTCTCATTATAGAGTCTTGCATCTGCAAGCTGCATGCCAGGGAAGGCCCTGCGGCGGAGAGCCAAGCGCCCCTGGAACCGCAAAACGTGTTGAGACTTGGTGTTTGAGTTTTCTTGTTGGAGAGAGTTCGTGTTTTTGGGGAAGATGGGCCATTCCTTAAAGCCTACACGGGAGGGAGGGCGTGAGGGTCGCTCGTGGTCACTTGCCGAAAAGGGTGTGACTGCTCACGAAAGGGTGTGACTGCTCACGTAAGACCGAAACGAACTTGGAGGTGGGCCTTCTTAAACGTGCATTGGGACCTCAACCGGCACTTGCATTATGCTGGCATGGCTTCCGTTTATGCTTGCAGCGATCTGCGGTACTGCCGCACGGAGGCTCAGAGAAGTTTCCAAGCCCACAAGCGCCGATCTTTGCCTGCCGCAGCCGCAGGGAGAATGTCGTGAATTGTGTTGCTGCTTTTCCAAAGAAACCCTTAAGCCCCTTGGTGACCATGACCTTCTACTATCTGCCCACTGGCTATAGGCAAGAAGATCTTCTTGTGAACTTCAGAGGGGGAAGCTCTCCTAGCAGCTTGCCAAGGCATGGCCAATTCAAGAGATCCGTTGCAGGCCGCCATGATATGGGTGATTCGTGGTTACCTACTATAGTGGTTCTCGTGAAGCTCCTTGAAGGCGAAGTTGAAGGAATCTGGTAAGAAGGTTGCTGGGAAGGAGAGCTGCGCTTTCAAAGAACTTGAGGGGGCATAGCTGATCGACAGGCTTCGCACGATTCCCATACACCTCGGCGGCAGCTCACTGCATGGCGGATTCGGGCGCGTCAGCTCCCCGGATGGCAGCGCAGAGCACCGGTCGCAGCGAAGGGCAGCTGCTTTGCAGGCCATACGGCTCCACATTCAGCTATGCCATCCAAACAGAGTCAGCGATCCTGCCGAGTAAGACAGCTTCAGAATTTAGTCTTGATTATTTGGAGAACTGCAGAAGGTGGGAAGCCTTAGTTTGAGCATCTTGCAGCAAGAATCAGCCAAGGTTTAGAGCTAGTGGGGCTGGGTGCGACTATGACTACAAGTTCTCTGCCTATATACAAGACTACTGTTGCGCGTACGTTCGGATTTTTGCGACGTCCTCAGTCCTCTCATCGCAACAGGGCCATTGAGCTCTTGCAGCAGAATCGGTACGAGTTTAATTGGGCTTCTCTAGGATTTGCTGCAGTAGCTTAGAGATGACCTATGAGTTTGAGCCTTAGAAGCAGACAAAAACAAGGGGCCAATGTGGCGATGCGAAGAGCTTCTCGTAGCTCCTGAATGCGACTATAGGGCGCGGCGTCCGACTTCCGAAGCTTCTCCGTTTGCAGGCTCGAGGGAGGGAGGGAGGGAGCGGGGGGGGGGGGCGGGGGGTGTCAACAAGAGACCCTTTCTGAGGTCTGGGAATCGGAAGCGGAGAACGTAAGCGGAGTGCATCAAAAACTCTGAACCACATCGGTTCCGAAATCCTGTAGGTTTGGCGTCCATGTCGTGTCGGCTGGAAGAAGGATGGTAGGCACCCGAGCTGGAGGATCTTCGGTGCAAGGTGTCAAGGGAGCTGTATGCAAGTGTTCAGGATCTTGTGGAAATTCCGATGGATGAACAAGAGCCGTACAAGACCTCTTTTTTCGTGTCTTGAGTTCATACTCTGCAATCTGTGGAAGGTGGATAGTGCAAACGGCCAACATCAACAGCAGCAGCTTGTGCACAGACAAGCCATGCCACAGTTCAGGGAGTGTTCAGGGACTCTTGAGTAGATCATGTTCGATGTCGCAAGAGGACGATTGCTATGTAGTTAAGCAGCAATGCCGCGACAAACATCCCCAGCCTTAGAGCAAAGTAGGGTTGTTGCTTGGGGGACAACGCACCTTGAGCAGCGATGCAAGGTTGAGACCGCCTTCACCAGCTAAAGGCTTAAAGCATGTAAATGCCTTTAGGGCATCCGCCTTTTCGCAACAGTCGTCAGCATGTACCTCCCAAATGACTGATGACCCAGGTTCCCACCACACGTTTCGACTGGTCGGACTCGACCTCAGGGACTTCAGCCTCAAGAAAGGGGACGAATTTCTCCGACCCCTTTGCAGCCTCACCCCAAAGGTCCCAAGGTCCGCGCCTTCGGCAGCAATGCACTGCCTGCACGGTGTTATAGTAGCCGAGGCGAGCACCGAGTGAAGCCTACAGCGAGGACAGTGATAGATGGGTCTGCCTGGGGAGAGTTCAACTCAGTCATCAACTGTCTGGTGTGTTCTTTCAGTGCTAATGGAGAAGTGCTGTCTTTTGGCGGCATCTGGTGGCACTGATAGCCGCAGCAATGCACGGAGTCTGAGTCAACGCCGATGTTGTGAGTTCGTCTCAACACGTGAAGACCCCGCAGAACCCTAAAACCCTAAAACGCTCAACCCTGCATTGCACGTCCTGCAGTCGGACTGCAAGAGGACCGCGGCTGGGGCTCGGACTCTGCGAGTCATCATTCCAGAGGCACGGAGACACGACAGCCTGCACATGCGGCCCTGATTTCCGGGCTCCGGGTGCAGCCGGGCGATTCTCTTCCCCAGCCCCCAAGCATATGATATCATAACTGCAGGAAATCTAGAGCCCGAGCAGATCCGCAGCAACGCAGAATCACGCGGCTGAAGCATGATCGTCAACGCAAGGAGAAGCAGTTCGCCCTACGCGCGGGCGACTCCTTGGCTTGGGCTGTGTCTGTGAGGCAGGAGGGGAAAAAGGTCGGAGAAAGCAAGCCTGAACTACCCAACACCGATCTTCCTGGCTGTCGGCGGTCAGATGTTCGCACGCAGGCCGGGTCTTTCTTGGGACGGCTGGCGTCGTGTCCGGCATGGTCCTCGGCATGCGCCCGGCGAAGGTACTTTGTGGTACTTGCTACTTTCTGTATAGCGAGTGGAATGAGTAGAACTGAAGTTTGAAATCGGCTACAGGTCTTCGTCGGTGCTTTGGGCGGATATAAGGTAAAGGCAAGATGTGGAAAAGATGCGTGCTAGACTCAAGAGTAAGGCAAGGTGCTGCCTCGCAGCTCTAACAGCGAAGTTGCTGTCGAAGAGCATCTTGTTCCGGAAGGATCTCTCTTCAACTCGTAGGTTGCTTTTGGGGTGCGGGCTGCACTTTTTGCGGCGCAAGTGAAAGGTTGCATTACACTTGCCTTACTGCAGGACTCATGACCACGTGTTGATGTGAAGGACGTTGACCAGAAAGTTTTCTCAGCATGGCATGAGCTTCCTTCACTGGAGCAGACTTCCAACGACTGGAAGTTGAACTCCAGACGCCATTATATGAGGATGTTGTTGTCGTCCATGTTCTCAAAAAGACTGCGCAAAAACTGCGCGGTCAGAGAAGCAACATCTAGCTGCCACGTTCAAGCAGGCATCTAGAAAACATCTAACCGAGCTACCGCAGAGCTTCCATCTACGGCCAGGGCACCTTATGTGTGCGACAAAGTGCAAATGTGCATGCAGGTTTGGCTATGCAAACAGAGCTGTTGATGGCATCATATGTGTGTGAACTTAGCACAATCCCTGTACCAAGTTTGGTCGGCCTCCTACCCTCATCAGGCTTATTGCCCCCAAGACATGCAAAACACAACAGCACGTAATCGGAAGTAAGCAGAAGCTCGCCGAGAGCCCGCCATGGTTTCACCCCTGGAAGAGCTGGGACACCAGGCCGCTTAGGTTTTTGGCTTTGACTCCGTGCCGAAGTGGCCTTGAGGTTTGTGCTCGGCGATTGCGGCTATTGCGAAGTGTGCATCAAAGGAACAAAACCATGGTAGTGACAACTGTGCAGTACAGTCGTCACGAAAGCTTGATCGTCTGGGCGAGTGTCAATGATGAATCCCGAACTTGAACCACGCTACAGCCTTCGCCAGACAAGACGGGAAAGACAAGATGAGAAGAGCATGGGGCAGTCCCTGGAAGGTGTCGCTGTTGCAGCGGGGCACGCCTCAGGAGGTGGGCAGGTGAGAGGGCGGAGAGGATTTCAGCTGCTCACGGTCAATTTTGGGTGTTATAATGGAAAGGCCAGTTTCGCAGCAGTCCAGCTCTGGCGGATTCACAACAACTCCTTCCCTTGTCTGACCTGCATCTGCTGACCTTCCCTTGCCACCTTGATAACAAACAAGCTTATCGGTCGAGGTCAAAGATGCCTCTGCCCGGCTGTCCCAATTTCAGCGGAGTCGCGGCTCAGCCACAGCTGCGAAAGGCATGTAGCAGGTGGGTTCAGTCATGTTCAGACCTCTGACTTTCTGGATGCTCGGTGGAAGCGTTCACTGGGCGAGACTGAGCAAAATGCATACTGTCAATAGCTGCATCTCACAACAAGGTGCGCCCAAAATTGAACCTAGGTTCTAGATGAAAGTAATCAGAGGCTGCGATTGCACCGCATGATATACTTTGCTGGCCATGCTAGAAGAAACGACCTTTGCACCCCCAAGATGAATGTTCAAGTCACAAGCTTCTACATACTCAGTGCAGAAGGAGCATCGTCCACCCATTGTTGTGCCTGTAGACGTATGTCACACCAAGGTCGCCTTAAGCCCTAGAAGCCTAGAAGCCCATACAGACAAATACTATATGTGTATCTGTATATGTATATACAAAGATAAGTATCTAGATATGTGTATAGTATGTGTATGTATATGTTGAAAGAAAACCGGGTGTGCATATTACATTCATATTTATTTATGCTAACTATTAACGTTTCTTATTCACCCCTAAACCCTAAACCCTAAGCCCTCAGCCCTAAGCCCTAAGCCCTAAGCCCTAAGCCCTAAGCCCTAAACCCCACATGTGCGCTTGTCCTGCTTAAGGTCACGCCCTGAGCCTCAGCGTTGCGCTGCTCCGCGCAGCCCAAAGCTCTGGGGAAGCCTTCGCCTCGCTACTCGTGAGGAAAAGCCCAACTGCTTCTTCATGTAGGGTTTAGGGTTTAGGGTTTAGGGTTTAGGGTTTAGGGTTTAGGGTTTAGGGTTGAGGGTTGAGGGTTGAGGGTTGAGGGTTGAGGGTTGAGGGTTGAGGGTTGAGGGTAGTTTACAGATGTTTACATATACCTGTGTGTGTTGAAGGCAGCCCAAGCTTCAACAACTTTTCCGGCTGTAAACTTGGAGCCCTGCTGGAAGGTTGCTCTCTTGACAAGGGCTCTTCTCGTTAACTTCAAGGCTTCTGCGGCTTCGCCCCGCATCGGGTCTACAGTCTCCGAACTATAGGGTGTAAGTTCATCAAGCCGTGTAAGTGTGTAGAAAGGGTGCTTTTACCGCGCAGAGCCTCAGGTTCTTCGCAGCCCAGAGCTTGGCCGCTCGAGCCCGGCTCTGCGCAGCCGAGGACTCCGAGACCTGGCCCCAGGCTCGGCTTAGAGATCTTATAGTGGTTTAGGGTTTATAGGGTGTTAGGGTGTAGGGGTTTAGGGTTTAGGGTTTAGGGTTTAGGATTTAAATTTATGTAGGGTTTTTTAGGGTTTATAGGATTGTGCTAGGTTGTGTTTGCGGCTCTCTTTCTTGCAGTCTGTTCAGAGCAATGGTAGCTTGCCATTGCCCTCAGTGTTCGCGGTCTCTTTTCGGACCTTTGCTCTCCAGTGTGTCGCTTTGTCTGTATTTCTGGAAGTAGCAGATGAGGAAAGGGTGCTGTGCTGATTCTGTCGGCGCGAGGGCAGGATCATCTGTCTGTTTTCTGCCAACATGCTTCTGCGGATTCTCGGAGATCCACTACTATTGCTACAGCTACAGCAGGGCAGGTCTTGAATTGCGAAGCTTCTTGCAGTTCTTGCTGCAATAGCAGATTTCACATGACACCGCCCTGCTGCTGGCCTGATCATTCGCGATGTATGAAGCACAGTGTGTGGCATGGCACATCTGTCGTGAGAATTTCCATGGGCAATATGCTGCGTATGAGATGCACAAAGAGTTCGTAGCCCCGCAAGGTCGCTCCAGAAATTCTCGAGGCATCGAGGGCTGGTCGGTAACGGAGTGGTTCTGCGTGAGGTTCCCTCTTGCATGCCACAGCTCTGCCTCGGTGAAGTCACAACCTTCAGGTCGCATTGTGCCGAAGAGCAATAATAGCAACAATAGCAAGACTAGCAATCATAGCAATCATAGCAATCATAGCAATAGTCGGCGATTTGCCAGACTGCTGTGCGCCCTGAATGCCTGCATACGGAGGTCCTAAGTTCTGGGAGGTGTGGGAAGCCAGCGTTGCGACAGCCCCTCGCCATGCAAGGATCCTTCATAGATGATGAGTCACATGGCGCGCTGTGAACACTCAAATGCAGCTGTGATCAGCTATGTGCACGAGGGCAGCCACAGCTCAGTTGCCGTGCTTTTCAACACTGTAGAGTGTAAACAGAGTTGGCTGCGTTTGCCTTTGCAATGTCCGTTTCATGGAACGTATTGGGCACTCTCTTACTACGACTGTTACTCTCAAGCAATGCCGAAAGCCTGCCATACTGCCGCTTGTTTGGTGCGTGTGAAATCGGGAGTGAAAGGCGAGAAGAGTGATGCTTAGCCACCTTGGGGCTGCTGCTATTGCAGTCGGACTGTCGCCAAGGGCACTGGCATCGGGCCACCCGCCTGAGATGAAAGGAGAATCTGCGGCCATGGGAGAGGATCTCCTTCACACCGCTGGCCGGGTGTGGGGCGTGCGCGAGCCCAAATGGAGGCACCTTTCTTGGCCATCGCGCTTGGGGCCGCAGCGTGTGACGGCGGAGCACATGGGCTAAAGCGTCCGCCGGGGGTGCTCATGCGTGGCTCCGTGAATCCCATGTGGAATTGCGGACAAGAGTGCAGGATAGCAGGGAAGGCCATCAGAGAGAAACTGCAGCACCGCGCTTGTCTCGATCCATGTGTTTTAATCATTTTAATCTCCAAGATGGGGTGCACGACGGCCGCTTTTCCATCTGTGTAGCATGAGAGCTTTTTGGGCAGGTGCTCGGACGTTGACGTTATAGGCAAACATTATGTGGGGTGCTGAAGCAGACACCTTGTGCAGAAGTGAACGCCTTTGGTTCACGTGGCGTGTTACTGCATGCTTCAGTCAAGGCATCGTCTTTCTCCGTGATGTGCGAACCAAGAAGCTGTTGCCATTGCGATCGCGAAGGTCACTGGCACCGGGCCACCCGCCTGAGATGTTCAAAGCTTCGCAGGTGCCTGCTCGCTCTACCCAAAGGAGAATCTGCGGCCATGGGAGAGGATCTCCTTCACACCGCTGGCCGGGTGTGGGGCGTGCGCGAGCCCAAATGGAGGCACCTTTCTTGGCCATCGCGCTTGGGGCCGCAGCGTGTGACGGCGGAGCACATGGGCTAAAGCGTCCGCCGGGGGTGCTCATGCGTGGCTCCGTGAATCCCATGTGGAATTGCGGACAAGAGTGCAGGATAGCAGGGAAGGCCATCAGAGAGAAACTGCAGCACCGCGCTTGTCTCGATCCATGTGTTTTAATCATTTTAATCTCCAAGATGGGGTGCACGACGGCCGCTTCTCCATCTGTGTAGCATGAGAGCTTTTTGGGCAGGTGCTCGGACGTTGACGGTTATAGGCAAACAATATGTGGGGTGCTGAAGCAGACACCGTGTGCAGAAGTGAACGCCTTTGGTTCACGTGGCGTGTTACTGCATGCTTCAGTCAAGGCATCGTCTTTCTCTGTGATGTGCGAACCAAGAAGCTGTTGCCATTGCGATCGCGAAGGTCACTGGCACCGGGCCACCCGTCTGAGATGTTCAAAGCTTCGCAGGTACCTGCTCGCTCTACCCAAAGGAGAATCTGCGGCCATGGGAGAGGATCTCCTTCACACCGCTGGCCGGGTGTGGGGCGTGCGCGAGCCCAAATGGAGGCACCTTTCTTGGC